GCACATTTTCTCCTGGCTGCTGGAGAAGCCCAGGATGAAAAGCGTAGGGATGCTTCAAGGGTCTATTTTAAACTACCACCTAGTGGCTTCTAGGTTTCTATAAACTTTATAAGTGAATGGGGGTGGATGTGTGTGGCAGGAAGGGATCTGACCTGCTACTATAAATAAATACTACCATGATTTTAAATTTAGGTACCCTAATTGATAATATGAGGGCACTCACCAGAGGTGGGACAAGAAGGGTAGGGTTGAGTTTTCCTGTGCCCAGGCTATCTGGTCATCTCCAGGGCCTTCTTATTGAATACTCAGTCTTTGGGCATTAATTAAATTCTTTAGTGGCAAGTTAGTCCAGTGTGTGGCAGGATCTCCACCCCTTCTAGCTGAAACTGCTTCATCTACAGTCCTTGCTCAGGGATTCTGAGCTAGGCAGCTCTCTGAACTTAGAGGAGACTGATTGGTGCCAGGGTGGACACCTGACCAAAGGTGTCCATAGGCTGACCAGTGTCCATAGGCTGACCAGTGACCAATGAGGTGATGTGCTGACATGGACTCTGACCAATATGGTAGCAGTAATTAAATCTAGGAAACCTGTTTCCTTTAGGACTGGGGAGGGATTCAAAAGTGGGACCTGGGGTTAACAGGCTTATGAGCTTATGTGCAGAGGACAGCATGGGCTTTGAGAGAGATGGAAAGAGCAGCTTCTGGTTCTGACAGCTTTTCATTCCTATCTTGTCATTCATTCACGCCTTCACTCAACCAATACTTATTGAACACCTACTATAAATCAGGCCCTGTGCTAGATTCCTCTTGAAATTCAATATAATCTTTGCTCTCCTACTGCTTTTAGTCTGATGACAAACATTAATAAAATAATCACAGGTAAATGAATAATTCTTAAACTTTGGTGAAATATGAAGAAAAGATATAGATAGGGAGCTATGAAAGATTGAACAGGGACGTCTGACCTAGTCTGGGAGCCTGAGAAGGCTTCCCCGGAGAGGTGAAGTTTGAGCTGAGAAGTGAAGGACAAATAGGAGTTATTTAGTTGAAGGGTGAATTTAGGGGAGAAATGTGTTCCAGGCAGAGGAGCCAGAATGTGAAAAGAGGCAGGAGGGAGCATGGCTTGTTGAAAGGAGCTTGTCATAAATCCACTGTAGCTGGAGTGGAGTATAACTGGGCATTAAATGCCATTCATGTCTATACACAAAAGGTTGTGGTTTTTTTGTTTTTTGTTTTTTTTGCTGTACATGGGCCTCTCACTGTTGTGGCCTGTCCCGCTGCGGAGCACAGGCTCCGGACGCGCAGGCTCAGCGGCCATGGCTCACGGGCCCAGCCGCTCCATGGCATGTGGGATCTTCCTGGACCGGGGGACGAACCCGTGTCCCCGGCATCGGCAGGCGGACTCTCAACCACTGTGCCACCAGGGAAGCCCAAGGTTGTGTTTTTTCTAATGTGGCCTGAGGAGACTCTCTCCCTTGAAGACAAAAGCCCAATGGACAAAAGTACCTACTGTATACCCCAGGTGCTCAGAGGCGTACAGGATCAATGAAATAGTTTCATCCCAGCCTCCACCATTTACTAGCTGTGTGATCTTGGGCAAGTTACCTAATATCTCTGAGGCTCAGTTTATGCATCTGGAAATGGAGACAATAAAATCATTTGTACTGTGTTGTGTTGAGGATTAAAGAGATGATGCCTGTGTGCATGCCTAGTTTGACTTGTGGCACATAGTAGGTGCTTAATGCATACTTTTGATATTCGCCAAATGACTGAGAAAGGACCATGGCTCAATAAGAACTCACTTCTTTTTTTTTTTTAATTTATATATATTTTTTATTTTTAGTTTTTACAGTATGCGGGCCTCTCACTGTCGCGGCCTCTCCCGTTGCGGAGCACAGGCTCCGGACGTGCAGGCCCAGCAGCCATGGCCCACGGGCCCAGCTGCTCCGTGGCATGTGGGATCCCCCTGGACCGGGGCACGAACCCGAATCCCCTACACCGGCAGGCGGACTCTCAACCACTGCGCCACCAGGAAAGCCAGAACTCACTTCTTTTTGCACACTGGTGGGGGGCTGGAGGTGGGGCAAGACTAATACAGTGTTCAAGACAAGGTAGTAAACAATGCAAGAGAAGCTGAGGGATGAGCCAAGGCAGGGGTCAGACGGTTAGCGCGGGGAAACACAGCCACGTCCACGGGCTGGCATATCTGGGAGCTTAGGCATGAAGCATCCTGGGGCCAGAAGGGAGAGGATGGAGCTCGAGCCAAGAAGAGGGGAGCTGGGGAAGGGGATTGTGTGGGGCTGGGGACATGGGTCCACCTTGGGAGGCCAGCTCCACTCTGGGACAGAAAGTCCAGTGGACAGTCATCAGTACTTATGAAGCTCTCTTTCCCCACTGAATCCCAGGTTCTAGCAGGTGCTCAGTGTTAAATGGATGGACGGATGATGGTTATCTAGACACAGAGTCACATCCATCACATGCAGTGTGTGAGGGTTGGGATCATCTATGCTGTGGCTTTGAGCCATCTGGTCCAGGGCTCCCCCCATAGAAAGTCACCCGCAGTGGAATATAGGTCTCAGTGCCAGAGATTCTAAGACATGGAGCCAGGCCCTAGTCATGGGGTTTGGGTTCTGGACAGGGTTTATTCCAGAAAGAATACAAAACTTGGTAGATTTACTGAGAAGGTGAAGATTTATACAGTCCCATGGATAAATCCTTCAGAGTGAGATGGAGAGTAGCAACACCGAGGATGTACTGGCTTCTCTCTACATTCATATCACCTCATTCTATAAATGCACTGTGGTATGTTTAATATTTATTACCCAAGTGTTGTTCTTTTTTAAAAGTCACTGTGGAAATGGAAGTAAAGAAAAATAAAGTTGGGAAATTTTAATGGAAACCAGGTAGAGTTGATACCCAAAATATATGCCATAAGGTCCTATAAAATTGCCAGAGGTAGGCTAAAAATTTGGTTCTGAGCTGTCTCCTTGCCTGAGCAAAGAGGGAAACAGGGGTGGTCACCAACTTTATGGTGTTCAGAAGAGAAACCACCAGCGACTCAGTGAGATGCAGCCTTTCAGGGTATTGAGATCTGGGGTGCTTTCTCCCTGGGTCCTCACACAAAGGAGAGCCATGGGTACACAGGGCTCCTGCGAGCACATTGGTGTGAGCTGCTTTCACATTTCCTGCCCCTAGGTCAGGCCTAGCTCAGGAGCTAGGGTAGACCTGAGGAGCTCACCCACAGACTCTGCTGGGGAACAGAATAGAGAATTAACATTTCTATTCTCCCAGACACATCTCTGCCTGAAGCATTGCTGGAGACCAAGAGAGGTGTTCCTTCAAAACCTGGGGATGAAGGAACTGGATAACACCAGCTTTAATTCTCCACCTGGCACTGGAAGCCAATGTAAAGTTGGTCTTGGCAAAAATGGAGGTGTAATTAATAAGAAGACTATTAAGGGAGTGAGAGTTACGGAGCCATCCCCAGCTGTGGGGCTTCACTTGGCTTACCCTCCAGTGACTCACTGGCTTATGAGCAATCCTCATATGCCTGATTTAGAGGACTTACTCACCCTTCAGAGAAAGAATTTAATGCAATAAAGCAAATGTCAGCAAGTGGGCTGCGGCTTAGCACATCACCCCAGCCTGCATCCAGCTTCCCCCTCCCTGGCTCTCCCTGCTTGCGGCCCCTCCAGCCACTCAGCACCTGGACAGGCCCACACAATGGGACACATTCCAAGGCAGAGCGGAGACTCAGAGATATGAAACCAGGGAGGGACCTCAGGCAGACCAAGCCCTGAAGTTTGGTCCAGCAAGATTAGAGATTAGCTCTAAAGCACTAGAGTCAGGGGCAGGGTGAGGGCTAGAACCCAGGATTTCTTCCTCCTATACAGTGCCCTTCACTCCACTTTCTTCCCCTGGAAACCGTGCTTAGATTATGCAGATGAGGGGTGCAGGCTGAAGCAAATGCAGCTACCCCAGTCTGGGTGACATTCTTATCTGAGGACTCTCCAAGGACGAGTGGGGAAGGAAAGGTGTGTGGGGAGCAAAGTCTCAAGCAAAGTCTTCGAGGTGAGACGTGTAGAAAGAGCTGGGCTACCCTGGGCTCGGCCGCCATCTTGCTATTTGTTGACATGGTGCTTGCTGTGGGGGAGCTGGAGGCCTCTCTGGACGCCCCCCCCCCCGCCATAATCAGGTGGTATGGATTGGAATCCCTGTGTCAGGCAAGTATGGTATCATTCCCAGCCAATTTCCCGTTCCCCTTGATTAGGAAACAGGCCCCAAGAGTTAGGCTGGAGCAGAGGCATAAGCCACGGGAATACGCAAATATTTCCCCTTCCTTCCTCCACCACACAGAGGAAATTACTCAGAAGGCAAGTTGATTCAGCCTTGGATTTCAATCAACTCATTGAGGATTTACCTAGGAACTCCTGAGGGAATTATCTGGAAGAATTAATTCCAAGGGTAAAAGAGGGAGAACAGGCATTTAAGGTAAACCTTTACCTAGTTCACTTATCTGTCCCTTGGTCGTTTTTCCAAACTTTTCTGAGAGTCTGCCACATGCCAAGCACTGGAGGGAGGGGGCTGACCACAAACTTGCCACTCAGGTTTGCTGGAATCAAGGGTCTTGAGCTCTAAGGGGCTTTTCAGATCAACTAGCTTAGTTCACTCATTTCATGGATGAAGAAGTGGAGGTTCAAGTTGAACTCTGCCTGGGGCTCACAAAGAGCCCAGCGTGGGCGGATGCTCTGACCACGTCTCCATGTGGCCTGAGCCTAAGGAGTTCTCTTGCAAGTGAGCCAAGGGAAACCTCCCAACTGGAAAGCATTATTCTGTATTAAGATCACCAGCTCGTGAGCAGACGCACAGCCTCATGCCTCCAACTGCACACCCACCACCATCACCTTAGCGTTCATTTGGAAATAAAACCCAGTGAGGCAGGCTGGGCCCCGCCTCAGTGTATCCCTGCCTTACCCCAACTCACCAACATGAAGAAGCGTTTTTGTTCTTCTTACTATTTTTATTTTGCACTATAAAAAGCAACAACATCAACAACCAGTAACATACTGCTTTTCTTCACATTCATATGGATTTTAGGAAATTATTGCCTTTTCCCCTGGAGAAATAAACTACAGACAAAAAAGAAGTAGTACCACATTGAGAAATCTGCAAATCCCAGAAGTCAACAGCTTGAAGACAACCCCAAGGGGCAGGGAAGAAAACAAGTGTCACCAGAGACCAGACAAGCACATGTAAGGACAGCAAGCTGGGGTGACAACCGTTTCAATGCCACTGACTCAGACAGTGGGTACCCTTTCTCTCCTGGCACCCAGTGCCACCACCTCAAAGGGGTGATTGTTGGTCTATGGTCTAAAGAACTCTTGTCAAATGACGCCAGAGTTGCTTTGAGGAGAGGTGCAACGAGAAAGGTTCAAGTATGAGTAAGAATCATGCCAAAGTCCAAAGTCAGGGTAAAACCCACAGTGAAGAGGAAACCAGAAGTGTTACTGTCTCACTACTTCACCCAAATGACTCCACCTGACCCAAGACAGAGTCTCAAAAACATCTGAGGGTTCAAACGAGCATATACATCATGTCCCTAAAACCCTGTAGGGTTACTTTCCTGACTAGGTGGTGATCAGCTTATGCCCTGAAGCAACACAGACAGATACGGAGACTGCCAAAGTTAAAAAAATAAGGTGGAAATTGTGCTTCCTTCAAAATGAATTGGCTTTGTTACTGCCTTTTCTCCTGGTCCAGCAACTGCTTTCTCTCATATTGCTGCAGGTATTTATTGCCTTATGCTTGAAATGAAAAGGCAAACTTTGAGGTGCAAAGACTGGGCAGTCCTGAGGGCAGGGGGTCTGGAAATACAGTAGTCAGCACGTGCTGTGCTCTCATAATGGCTTGGCCTTCCTTCAGTCCCAAGAACCTATCCCCGAGGTCAGTCTGAAGTTTGTTTGCAAACCTGGTGACCCTTCACTGGTCCCACCAGGACAGCGGGACAGAGTGAGGTCTTCAGTATTGCACACGTATGAAATGTCCACGAGTCAAAATACAAAATCACAGTTGTTCTTGGAGCTGGGCTGGTTTTCCCACTCTGGTCTTAGCAGGATGTGGCTGTGGCCATGGGGCTCTGGCTGAGCTCTGAGACCGTTGAGTGGGTGGGCAACGGTGCCAGCACCGAGGTAGGGAACGTGCAGTAGGAACCCTGCACGTCAGGGCTCAGTGTCTGTAAATGGGCTATGAACGAAGGGCCGGCTGCCTCCCCTTGGGAGGAGGGAGCCTGGGGGCTAGGCGCGCAAGGCAGGATCTCGGACTCATACTGTAGGAGCTGGCCCATGAAGCTGAAGTTGGGCGAGACCACACTCCTCCTCTGCTTGATGTAATCAAAGGCGTCCTTTAGGTGGAACTGCTTGGTCTTCATGAGGTAAGCCATGCAGATGGTGGGTGAGCGGGAGATCCCAGCCTCACAGTGAACCAGGACCTTGCCTCCCTTTTCCCTGACACAGTCTGGAAGAAAGAAAAGACAGTGGAAATGAGTTGGGATTGGAACTCAAAGGCAACTGGATTTAATTAAAGAATTTAAAAAAAAGTGACCTAGTAATCAAATCATCCTCCCTGCTCAACGTCTGTGGTCCCACACCAGGCTTTTGCCAGTCTTTAACCTCCACTGCTGAGGATAGACTTTAGGGTCCCACCATGATGTCTATCTCTGCGTAGGACCTTCACAATCCTTAGTTCTCCAGGATGCTTTCACAGGTTCTGCCACTGGAGGTGCTGGACCTGGAGTAACTCCTTCCTGGGGATGCCATCTTAACTCGGGTTCCATGGATGCGTTTCAAGAAGACTTTGGAAAATCTTTGAAGCTGCATGCAAGTTTTCGTTGCACATTCACATTTCCCTGAGAGGGTCCCAGGCTCAAAGACTGACTTGGAGAAGCAATTCCTGCCTCTCGGGGTCTGATTCTAATGGTGATGACCTAGCCCTCATCCCGGTTGAGGCCTTCCATCCTCCCCGGGATCCCTGTTTGGCTGTGCCAGGGCGGGATGCTTGGCTCAGCACCGAGGGTTCCCAACCAAGCAAACATACAATAAATAGTGCACAGCCACTAATTATAGCCTTGGCTAAGTAACGCTTACTAGACGGAGGATATAAATGGCTTTGGCAAACTCCATCTTGCACAACAATGGGAGTCACTGCTATAAAGCTACCACCTTCAGTTAGCATTCATTAGCTCAATATGACACAAGCAGGGTGCCCTCCTTTTCTGTTCTACTCCTCCCCCCAAAAGAGCTCCAACTGTTAAAAATGAGCAGGGGCAAAAGGTTAAACACATATACACATCAAATAAAAACCACAAAAAAGAGTCTTTCCAATTCCCTCTCTTGCTAGTGAGGAAACAATTACATCACAGGAAGTTAGATGTCCATGGCACTATGTAAGGCCACAGTATGCAACAATATTTAAGATTTTGAAGGGCAAATAAAAAGTCAGCCCCCTTACCCACCTCCCTCCTCAAGTTCAAGAAATTTGCAAATGCATCTCTAAGATCTGAAAGATCCAGTTTCTGAGGAGTCAGGGAGGAACCTGGAGTCTCCCCAACAGAATGAAAATCCCAAAGGACACCCCAGGGTTCCTCATTAGAAGTGCCCCAGTCTCTGATTCAAAAGAAAAAAAAAAAAAGTTCCTGTAAATTAGTTCAAAAGAGACTCCAAGTTCCTAGGATTATAGGGTCGTGACTCCAACCTTCTTTTGCTCCTCCACCAGCAAAAAGCTGGTAGTCTAGCTTTTAATTGGCCCAGAGCCAAATCCCAGAAAGCAAAGGGCCTACAGTGTGTTGCTTCTGGATCCCACTTCACCCCTGGGGGCTTGCCTTCTACGTGGCCCTCAGAAGGGGTCAATGCATGATTCGGCCTCAGTCCCTCCTTCCTTCAGGAGGGCAAGGAGTCTGGGGAAAGGCATCTCGTGTGCCTTCAGAATGCTGTGGGTTTGTGCGGTTGTGTACCCAGACACAATGCACACACAGGATGGGGAGGGAGGCTTCTGAGAAGTGATGGGGGCGGGTTTCATGACTTCACTGAGAAGCTATCTAGATAATTGAATAACAGGCTGACAAGGGCAAGGCATTCCCAGGGACAGGGAGAACAAGTCAAGGGTTTCCCACCCTGACCCCATCATCTTGACTGTCTCTCAGAGACTCCAAAGGAACCATCGCAGCCCAGAGGCTCAGGGAACAGGGAGGCAGGCTCGGCCTTTTGCCTCTGGTGAGTTTCTCTGCAGGCTTCTGTGCAGTAGAGATTGTGTGTGCTGAGCAGAGGGCTCACCACGTGGTGGAAGGGGGGCCTTTAACGGCTCCCTGCACTAAGTAATCATTGCTGCACCCAGCACCGGCCTTTCTCCCTCCAACATCCCTCAGAGCACGAGGCAGGAAGATCACTGCTCAGCTTCAACAGTTATGCATGTTAAAGGGAAAGAAGGACTCTGGAAAGGGAGGCAAGCCCACAAGGATGGGGAGTGGTGGGTGCTTGCAAATCTGAGACACAAAAAAGTCAGTCCAGCCCCCAGGGGAGATGGTTGAGGGAAACAGAGATGTCCAATGAAAGAACAATCCAGCCTGTTCGAGGAGTTGGAATCCCAAGGCCCAAAGCCCTTTCTAGGCAGAGGGACGAGAGGTTTCCAGGCCTACACGATGGAGTAAATGATAACTGCCTCACGGAACGTACAAAGGATGCAAAAAGATGCCAACTTCTCTGTGCATAAAGCACAGAGCTTGAGACGAGCGCTACCTTTAGTCCCAAATCAGCTGAAAATGCAAAACAATTGCCCCCAAAGCAGTTTGCCAAAAACCGTGGAAAGCTGCCAGGGCCCTGGGGGCTCAGTGCGTAAGGAGTGCTCTCTCAGTCCTTCTGTTTGTTTTCAAAAATATCCCAACCTACGCAGAAGCAGTTTGGGTGGTTCTTTCCCTCCCCTGCTTCCCCGGCATGGAGCCTCACACACGGATGCACCCTGCTTCCCGCCCAGCCAGAAACACTAACAAGAGCGACAGAGTATTGCTATAGAATTGTAGTAATTCATTTATCTTGCAAATTAAAGCTCCTATTAATAGCAACTCAAATCCTCCCCTCTGTCGTTTTGGTCGGTGCATCCAACGAGCCAAGTTGGCTCTACAACAAGATGCTTTTCTTCTCACTGACGGGAACCCCCATCAGTACATCAAAATCCAAGAACACGCTCCCCTAGGGGGCCCCCAAAACAACTGAGGGGGAATGGCTGCACCTACCAATGAAATCTATTGCTTCTTGAAAGTGGGAGCTGATGTTAGCCGCATGGCTGTCTTCCACGGGGATCCATTTGTAGTGTAGGTGGGTCGTGCAGGCCTCAGAGGTCCGTCGTGAGACATTCAGCAGAGCCGTGATGTGCAGGTTGGCGAGGAACTCACACTTGGACGCATGGTAGGCACTTCCAAGGTACAGGAACGGAAGGATTTCGACTGGGCCGCCCTGGAAGGAGGGGCAAAGGAGGACAACCAGGAAATGTTGGATTAGCTTGCTCTTTGGGGAGAAGAAACAAAACAACGCTGACCTATTTGTTTTCAGGTGGGAGGTTCCCTTTCTGGTTTCCAGGTAGAGAGCTCAGAGTCAGCGCAGGTCACCCAAGAGTGTGTGGGTGGAGCCTCTGTCCTGGTAAACTCTCTGCCCTACATTACTGCCTTGTGACTCAGTGACAGCAAATCCCACACAGCTAAGATTTTCATTTTCTTATATATATTGAGGTGGTAGGAAATGCCGGCAGCCTTCCTATACTGACAAGGATGAGAAGAGGGTGGTGTGATGGAAGACTTGAGAGGCCCGTGCTATAGTTCTAGCTGCCCTGAGAGTGCCAGAGTGAGTCCTTTAACCTTGGGGGCAGCCTCGGTTTCCTTCTAGATAAAATGGAAAATGGTTCAACAAGGTGAGCCCCCTCCTTTACAATCCTGACGTTTTATATATATATATATATATATATATATATATATATATAAAATGTGTTTCATCAAACCTAGGACACTGTTGATCCTAAGATGCATTTGGAGCTCAGAGATGTTAAAATATGCTTCCCCCGTCCCCCAAAAAAGTAAACTTCTCAGAAGTGAAAATGACCACTATCTCTCCAAAATCCTCAGATAATGAAAAGCTGTTAGGCCATGAGCAGGGCCTGATCCTTTGTTTTTTTTTTTTTTTTTTTGGCTGTGCTGCGCTGCGTGGCATGCAGGCTGCAGGATCTTAGTTCCCCAACCAGGGATCAAACCCGTGCCCCGTGCAATGGAAGCGTGGAGTCTTAACCACTGGACTGCCAGGGAAGTCCCAGGCCTGATCTTCTCGTGGGGTTGAGTTTTGGTGAGAGACGCGGACATCTTCACCCTTTTGGGAGACCACCTATACCTGAGGTTTCTAGTTAAGAAGGATCCCCAAAGAACCAGAGACCATCTACCCTGAGGAAAAGCTAAAAAGAACAGCTAGCTAGTCAGACTCTGGCAGTCTCAGCATTTCCAGGGTGGCAAGAAAAGCCATTGTTCCATACTCGGAACAATGGGAGCCCCTGGAGATTTAGAGGGAAAACACTGAGCTGGGGTGACAGTGGCTGTGTCTTTGGCAGCCTTTCCCATATCATCCATCCGCTTCCTGTGTTTCCATTTCCTGTCCTGGAATAAGAGTAGAATGGAAACTCTCTGCCAGACCCACAATAGGGAAAGGGGCACGGGAAGAGGGCCAGGAGAAGGCAGTTCTCAAATTACCCCGCATGGGTGTTTGCTTTTTCTTTCCTGAGAAGTCAGGTGTTTAAGGCAAAGGCCAGTTTGGCCACTTGAAAGAAAGTTATAGAGATTTTACAAAAGGTAGTAATAGTAACCAGTATTTTTAATAGCTGGCCCCTGAGCTTAACACTTTAGGTGTACCTACATAGATCTCTCCCTCTCTTTAGAGCCTGGAAAATGCTGACACACCAGGCCTGGGAACCTACTCAATTTCTCCTGGAGCTTAGCCCAACACCCCTGAAACCATGTTTCTTTCCTTTTTTGAATCTTCTTTTTAGACTCAAGAGGAAGAAACCAAAGGCCTTCAGAAACCCCAAAGGTTAACACGACCTCACCCGGCTTCTCTCAAGGCAGAAGCGCTACTAAGAGTAGCACTAGGGGGTTCCCCAGATGAACCGTGGAAACACACCAGGGCCTCCCTGGTCCTTGCTTGGCCAAAGGTCTGCTGTGCTTTCACAACATCCTGCAAATTCTCGTTTCTCTTTCACTTTCTGAGAATGGAGGAGGAAAACACCACCCAAACAAACAAACAAAAATAGAAATTCAGCTAAGCCGGATGCCCATGGCTTGAAAGTCCAGAGTTCATCATACACTGTAATTTTAATAAAAGAAAACAAACAAAATAATAACCCTGGCACCTCGCCAAGCTAATAGGTTTCCATTCAAGGAAAAGCCACCTGGCTGTATTTGGAAGTTTATCCCCAGGGGCAGAGCTCTGCTCTTGGCAGGCAGCTGGCATCTTACACAGTATCTACAAATCTTCCTTCTATGATTTGGGTATGTTCTTATTTTGTGCAAAGAGCTTTTTGTGCAAAAAGCTCCTCCTACCAAGTCAGATGCCTAGAATGGCCCTCTTCCAAAAGAAGGCATGTGGAAAGCAGAACAGGGTCCTGAAAAGAACCAGAACAAGGAGTTAAGAGAAGGGAGTTCTGGGCCTAGTGTGGCCATGAACCCAGCTGCAGGATTCTTGGCAAAATCAATCATCCCACCAGCTGTGACAGTTTTTCCCTCTGTAAAATGGGAAGGTAGGTTTTGATCTCTGTTTTCTGCAGATTTGGGTCCTTGCTGGCTTTTTCCACATCCTCCTGCATTGTATAGGTAACCCCTGCCTGAGCCGTCCACTTTTTCTTCCTCTAATGAGTTGCCAGAAGGTACAGTTCTTTGAAGGGAAGAAACCCACATGTTTGTAGACACATGAAATCCTCTAGTGTGTCTTGATCTCTGGTTTCAGAATTTATGGAATTATAAGCATCAGAAACCCCTAGGGGAGGCTGCTTAGCCATCCAAATAGTAATTTCTCTACAACCCTCCCCCAATCTTCCTCCTTCAGTTAAAAATACCTAGACACGCCTTTACAGGTACTGGGTTGGTTTGCAGAAACTGCAGAGCATGAACAGTTACGAAGAAGATCAACACAGGAAGCCTGAAAGTCAGCTCTGAAACGTCTTCAGGGAAACCTAAACCGATATTTCAAAGCTTCAAAGCTTCTCTGCACCTCCCAGGCCAGCTAACAATAATGTATATTTCGCTTCCACTTTTTGCCAGAAGCCACCGAGCGTCCTGAAGTGCATTTGCTCTTGTCAGCTTATTTGCTGGAAGGAAGCCCATTTACTCTTAGATGGAAACTCAAGTTGGCAAGCAACAGAGGCTCTCTAAAGCTAGAGGCCTCTGCCAACTCCCTGATCCGCAAACGAACCAACCAAGGTTGCTGAGCAGGGAGTGGAAGAGCCAGGGTGCTGTGCAAGGAACAGAGCCAGGAGCCGGGACGGTACTTCCACACCGTGTACCTGGTCATAAGCCGGCCTGTAGCTGATGTTGAGCACTGACTTCCCACACTGACTGATGAGGGCTGTCTCAGTTTCAACCTTCTCTGGTGAAATGGGTTTTACGTCCACGCAACACTCAGGATATTCCGAGTGGAAAGTCTCATATCCCCCTAAAAGACAAAAAAAAGGCAAGAGAGATATAAGCATCGATTTTTCTCAGGCTGTCAGAAAATGCCCAGAATTGATCCATAGCCTGAGTGTGGAATAGTAAAAAAAATATTCAGCTACTATACATTTTGGTCATATTAAAAAATTGAGCCAAAACAAGTAATAGTTTTAGAATAGAAACGGGCTCCACAGACACACACACACACATACACACTCTCTCTCTCCTAAAAAGCTATAATTCAGAAAGGCAGTGATGAAAGTTTTCTATGCCTATCAGAAGATAGGCATAGAAGAAATGAAAGTTTTCTATGCCTATCAGAAGAAGCTTAAACTGTGAAAGGAAATATATCTGACATGTGGCAAATATTAACCAAATCCCTCCAGAAAACAAAAGCTGTTTTCTCTCATTTACCTAAAATGCAGGTGTGATTATGCAGAATTTCAGTAATTTGTGAATGAGACTCTAAACTGGTCTGGTTCATCCCTAGTCCCTTAGCTCTAAACTGGATTATAGACGAAACCTCCTCTATTCATAAGGGAATGGGGGCTAACACGAGGTTTAAACTCAGGGCAATAAAACAGCTCTGCCCTTTCTCTTTGCCAAGGTGCTAAGAACACTGCTGACAATCCTCTCCATAGGTCCAATGTAATCAATCTAGTTAATTACCTTACAAACCAGAGCAATGAGGCCTTCTGAACTTAATTCTTAACTCCTTAAGTAAAAACTCCTTCTTTCTCCTTGATGACCACCTACTCTCCCTTTATCTTATGACCCTCCCCTCCTGAACTTTCTCCCCAGCTACACACACACACACACCCTCATACCTGGCAGGTATGATTCTATAAAAATCCTAACTATATTTAAACTTCTCCAAATGGATCAGATCACTTAAGGTAAAAACTACTCTCTGACCGAGTCATAGAAACTTGAGTAGGTAAGTTCTCAGGCCCACACACGAGGTAGGGAAGAACCAAACGAAACACTGGCCTCGAAGCCTCAGAATGCCAAATGCTGCTGGGTGCATAGGCCAGACTTGTGTGGGGAAACACTTTGCTTCCAATCCAAAGGGACCTAAGACACTTCCAAGAGCCTCCAGAAAACCTGCTTCTTTTTCTGGCCCAGAGAATTCACTTGGGGTCAAATCATCAATTTTTTTTTTTGTTTTTTTTGGTCCATGCTGCACAGCTTGTGAGATCCTAGTTCCCAGCTTATGGGATCTTAGTTCCCTGACCAGGGATTGAACCTGGGCCCTGGCAGTGAAAGTGCTGCCAGGAATTAGGAATTCCCTAAATCATCAATTAAATAAGCATTCTGAGACCATATATTTTTCCAAAAAGGCCCCCTTTTTTTCTTCTGTCTTTTGGTGTTGTAATAGCCCCACAGTGGAGCACATGGTGGTTTTTTAAACCCCTGCAGTAGGCAAATGGTTAATGGATTACACGGCAGTCTCCAGCTCTCTCCCAGAAGCTACAGCCAATTCCTAGAATGAGTCATCTAGCTATTACTGCTTCCTCTCAGCTTGCTGGAACTGCCCCCAACCCCATTTAGCACACCCAAATCTCCCCTGTGGTCACTTCAACAAATAGCCAATTGGGCCTTCCCAAATGAGCTTCTGGACCTCCACAATGACCACGTTCCCGGTCATGATGACAGGCCATGCCGGAGGGAGGCGGAGGTGGAAAGTTTGAAGGTGTCTGTGGCTTAGTTTTCCCTCCCTCCCCACCATTGCCCCCACCCCCTTCCCTCCCAGAAGGCAGAAAGAAACCACACTTAAACTGACCCTCAGCTTCCTCCGAAGAGGTGTCCCTAGTTAGCAAATCACTTCCTGTGCCTGGGCCTCAACATTTTGAGTCCCAGGAGACAAACTGAGTGATAGGGGATGGGAATCTGAAGTAAGAGTGGCCCAGGCCCTCTCAAATTTCAGAATGAAGCTTGGGAAAGAGAAGCCTTCAGGCCACCCCATCTCTTGGCTTTAAACAGAGCACTTAAGAGTTGGCTGTTGGGCTTCCCTGGTGGCACAGTGGTTAAGAATCCGCCTGCCAATGCAGGGGACACGGGTTCGAGCCCTGGTCTGGGAAGATCCCACATGCCCTGGAGCAACTAAGCCCGTGTGCCACAATGACTGAGCCTGCACTCTAGAGTTCATTGAGCCACAACTACGGAGCCGCGTGCCACAACTACTGAAGCCCGTGTGCCTAGAGCCCGTGCTCTGCAACGAGAAGCCACCACAATGAGAAGCCCGTGCACCGCAACGAAGAGTAGCCCTCGCTCGCTGCAACTAGAAAGCCCGCGGGCAGCCATGAAGACCCAACGCAGCCAAAAATAAAATAAATTAAAATAATAATAATAATAAAAAGAGTTGGCTGTTAGGAGGACAGACAGGAGGTGCGGGTGTGGGCTGGGTCCTGCCTGCCTGTTGACAAAATAAGGCAGGCAGACAAAGTCTCAGTGTAGTTGAGGGACAGATAAACAGGGTCCTGCCTCTTCTAGCTGGGGTCAGGAGTCCTATAGATTAGATGGTCTGTCTTTCACCCACTCCCATCAGAGGCGTGGAGAGACAGAACATTCCTCTCTGGTGCCTCACTTGAACTCCAAGAGCCGTGGCAATTCTTTTGGCAGCTTCAATCCTCTTCAGAGTGATTCTGTTTTTGATCACCACCGCATTACCAGGGGAACTGAGCAGAGAAAGCACACGGACACTATATATAAATACGCACTGACAATGCCGTTCGGTCATCTCATTTTAGTGGGTTTTTTTGGGACTGGAGGGCATTGAGGGAAGTGTAAAAGGCATTGCAGGACTTCCCTGGCAGTCCTGTGGTTAACACTCCGTGCTTCCAGTGCAGGGGGCGTGGGTTTGATCCCTGGTTGAGGAAATTAGATTCCACATGCTGCGTGGCCAAAAAAAATGGTTTGCCCCACGATCTGGGATGCCACTAGATTAAAAACCTGAACTCTTATCTGGATGTGAGTCAGGTAAAGAAAAAATTTTCTTTGGCAACAACTTAAAGTTTAGTACTGTTATAAGGGTAAGTATTAAGCAATTTCTACTGAAATTTAAAACGGACATAACTTTCGACGTGGCAATTCTCATAATTTTACTGAAAGATAGTGCACATGCAAAAGCATTTGGACAAAGGTATACTCTCCCACACTGCTTCAAATACTAAGGCTGGAAGCAACCTACTTACTGGCTATCACCAGGGGATGGGTTTAAAAAGTGAATAGGACACGTATGCTCTGGTATGGACAAATCTCTCAAGACCTAGTTAGATGAAAGAGGCAGGAACAGGAAATATACAAAATCATTTTATTTTTACTCATGGAAAATTAATTTATCTAAAGATGAACAAGAAATAGTTGACTGTTGTCTCTGGGGAGTAGAACTGAGTTCTAGGGTGTGCAGAAGATCCACTTTTCATTGTACAGCCTTTGTGCTGTATGTTACTTACATTAAAAAAATTTTTTTAAACATTAATTTTTCTGAGATGTGAGTCTACAGAGCTGCCTACTTCCTGTGGCAATAACTTCCAAACTGCTAGCGTGGCCCCCTGCAGAGGGGTGGGGAGCAGAGGTAGGACCCGGAAGGGTTTCCTGGAATGTATCTTTCGTGCTACTGGAGAGGCAGAAGCTTTTTCTGTACTCACTGCTAAGAAGCGGAGACAAAAAGCATATCAAAAAGAAATCAGGGACTATGTGTGAAAAATCTCTGCAGAGCTTGGAGGGCACTCTCCATCTCCTGGGGGCTGAGGCTGGGTAAAAGAGGAATATCATTATCTTCTGCCTCTGTTGTTTCCCTAACAGGAATCAACAGGGGACCGTCTGTAAGAGGTGCTAACAGAGGTGGGAGCTGCCCGTGTGCCTCTGGAATCTCCTGGCCTGGAATGTGTAAAACTCCACAAGTCGCACGGTTTTAAAACAGCGCTCTCACTCTCTCAGCTCACTGCACCTGAGCTCTGAACCACATCAGTGTTACATCTCCAGGTGTCCCCGTCAGAGTCGGCCGGCGCAGCCTAGGCTGAGTCCTCTTGTCTGCCCTACAGGCTATGCCTTCAATACGTTTGAGGTTACAAAGGACTCAAATACAAGGCGGCAGCAGTTATAGGAAGTGACACAGAAATCAATATTCTGGAGTCTGAGAGTAAATCACCCACCCACCACCAACGTCATCTCCCCCAGCAGGTGGAATGGGCAGACTGGTGAAGCAGCTTCTGGGGATCTCAAACCAAATGCGACGCAATCCCCTTCACAGCCACCCTGTGGCACCTCTCACGTGTCCTGGCTCGCTGGCCAGCCTGCCTACCACCCCTGGCAGACAGCGTTAGGCCCGCCGGGTTTGGCCCACGACCAGTACAGATGATCCTGGGGTGGGGGAGAGGAGGTGAAAAGGGTGTCAGCTCCAAACGGAGCGAGAGAAAGGCCTGGGAGGGGAGAAGGGGAAGCCAAAGAACAATAAAAAGCAATAAAATGAAATGGAAAGGAAGGGGAGGGGAGGAGAGAGACTCGCCAGGGTCAAAAAGGCAAGAGGGTCGAAGACGACACAGCCTAACATACGTTAATCGTGCAGGAGGGAGAAAAGGGGACACCGCGGCGCCACACTTCGGGGGTGAGTGTGTTACGACCTGCTGATCCCTCCAGATCTGTCCATCAGGACGGCTCCAGAGCGCAGGCCCCTGCGAGAGCGGTGAAGCCGGCGCCAGGAAAGCCGGCCCGCGCCCAGCACTAGGCGACCGACCCCCAGCTGAGAAGCAGCGCCCCCGGCTGCGTAAGCAACCCCACCCCACCCACCCGGGCCGAAAGGCCGATCGTCAAGCGCTTTCGAGGAACTCGAGTGGGGAAGCTGTGAGCGCTGACGCTAGCAGTGCCCTCCCTAGAGCACGTCAAGCCCCAAGGTGCAGACTCCCGCCAGCGGAGAACCGCTCGGGTTCTAGCGTCAAGGAAGGCGCCCGGCGCCAGCAGGGGACCCCAGAGCCCGGGGCCGTCCCGGCGCGGACGGTGACAGGGGACCGGCGTCCCCGACGCGCTCACCTTTGAGGAAGTAGACCCGCGGGCCGGCGGGCAGACAGGCGAGCAGCGAGGTGAGCACAACGCGCGCGGCGCTCTCCTCGCGCAGCTTCTGCCAGTGGCGGCTGCCCTGGTCCAGCACGACCACGGCCGCCACGCCGCCGCCGCCCTCCTGCAGCAGCCGCGCGCGCGCCGCCTCGTCCGGCAGCACGTAGCGCGCCGACACCGCGCCTCCGCGGGCCCGCCGCAACACCACCGAGTTGAGGTTGACGTTGAGCGAGCCGCGCACGCTCGAGGCGGCGAAGGCCAGGTAGGGCCGGCAGTCGAGCACCACACAGCGCGCCGCAGCCTCCTTGCGGAGCATCTTGCGCAGCTGGCGCCCGTCGAGCGACGTGACCTTCATGCCGCCGCCGCCGCCCAGCGGCCCCGCGCAGTGCGCCCCGCAGGTGCCCACAGCCAGGGTGCCCGCCGGCGAGGCCCGGGAGGGCGACCCGCGGGCCTGAGGCCGGCCGACCGAGCCCGGCGCCGGAGCGACCGCTCAACTCTTCTTTCCCGCCCTTCACGCTCGGCACCCGGCCCGGCCACTCGCCGCCCCAGAAGCCGGGGATTCCGCCGGCAGCTCAGCGTTTTATGTGAATGGGTGTACAGCCTGTGACGTGGCTGCCCATATAAGGCCGAATAAGAGTATTTCCCCGCCCCTTCGGGCTGTGGCCACGCCCCCCGGGAGCCGGACGTGCTGGGCGGGCGCCGAGCGTTAGTCAGCCTGAGAAAGAGGAAGTGGCAGGCAACTTGCCGTGCTCTCTGTGGCGCTGCGCGGAGACACTCACTTGCGCATCACCGGGGACTGCTGGTGGGGTGTCAGGAACGCCACGAGGCCGAGGTGACCCACGCTGTGCGGGAAGAGGAGGAAGCGGGGGAGGCGGAGCTGGCGTCGTGACATGGGTTTAGAGTTTCATAGACGTAGGTTCAGAACCCGCTGGGGGCCGGGCCAGGTACCGTGGTAGGCAGAGCTAGGGGCGGCCTCGGCCAGTGCCCCCAGATGGATCTGACGTAGATTTCGATCCTTACGCGTCTTTACGCGGGGAATGAGATGATAGCTGGAATTTGCTTCGAAGGCTGGGTTATCGACTCAAGATTGGGCTTGTGTTGGTATCGTTGAAACTTGGTGACAGGTACCTGGAGGTTCATTATACTGTTTTCTCTACTTTTCTTTATATTTTGAAATTTTCCATGATAAAAGCACCTCAAAGTAAAAGTGGAGAGAGAAGAGCCAGCAACTAATCTCCCCAAATGGGTTCTGCCCTCAAAGGGTTGATGGTCCTTTTCTTTGTCACACTCCCAGTAAAAATTAGAATAATTGTTTTTTGAGGAACCGTTTTCTGAGCCCCAGAAAAATCTGTCCTGAAATCAGCTGCAGCATCAACACGCACCGTTGATGGAGCTCAGCCCAGCCAAATGTACAGGTGGCTTCTGGATTTGGGGGATTATCTGTGGCTCAAGTATAATCCCAGGCTGTCTGCACCCGCCAGTCCCCAGCTGCTTCAGGCTTCCCATCCCCAATCTTGGGGAACTGGACACGATTCACCCGTTCAGCAAGTATTTACTGAAGGTCAGCTTTGTGCCCTGGTAGCTGCAGGGACATGCTTCTACCCCCAAACTCAGGACGAACCATTTTATTGTGAGCCTGAGGCAGGAGGGGACTGCCTGATGGAAAACAGCCTGCCTCCACTAGGGTGGGGCTTGTTTACTACCGACAGAGGGGAGTGAGGTTTTTAGAAGGAAGCAGAAGTCCAATTCTGAAATCAAATGCAGTCAAACCGGACAACAGCCAGCTGGCCGTTGCCCCTGGGTCTCAGATGCCTTCAGTCAGAGGCGCTGTCCTCACCCTGTCACTGGAATCCCCACGAAGATGTGATGCTGGGGGGTTTTCTTTCTCTTTGGGATTATACGTGCCAGCCTTCCCTGCAATCTGCTCCTCCTCTAGTGTCACCGGAACCACCCAGCCTCAGACGTTTCAACCTACAACCACATGGCCAGGCTCTGTATTGGTTGCTGGACACCAAAGTGAGCAGTCCTCACTCTGCTCCAGCTGCCCCCAGCTAGGAGACGAGGCTTGGTCCAGCCCAGAGGCCTCTTTTTTTTTTTAATTAATTAATTTGCTGCACCGTGGCGTGTGGGATCTTAGTTCCCCGACCAGGGGACCAGGGATCGAACCCCTGCAGTGGAAGCGTGGAGTCTTAACCACTTGACCACCAGGGAAGTCGCCACAGGCCTAAGGTCCTGTAGTCAGTGTGGAAGAGCATCCACGGTGTGCGAGGTGGGGTAGGGATGTGGCCCTGGAGAAGGCCACTCAGCGCAGAGGAGAGCTGAGGTGAGCTTAACGAGAGTGAATCCAGGTGAGCCAGGCCACGGAGTGGGAGAGTGGAGGACATTCCAGGCAGAGAAAACTGCTTGCGGTAAAGGGAAGAAAACCAAGAACCCAGCGAGGTATGTGCTGGAGGTACGTGGGAGACTAAGGCATTTCTGGCATTTATTAGAAAGTTAAGCAGGCTCAGGTGACAGAGGGACTTGTGTGCCATTTAAGGCATTTGGATCTTATCGTTTGGCTGGAGCAGCCATGGATGAGGCTGTTACTCAGTGACTTGGTCAGGTGAGCATTTGGGGACCTCACTGAGGTGGCACTGTGGAGGATGGATGTTTTATTTGCAAGTGGAGATGGGGTCCAGACCGGCGTCAGGGAGACAGATAGGCGGCTTTTGTGGGTAATCCAGGCCTGAGCTGATAAGGGCCTGCCGGAACTTGGCAGTGATAGCAGCAATTGAAGAGGCCACACAGATGGGAGAGACATTTAGGAAGTAAATTGCTGGAAGGGATGGGATGGCGGAGAGAGGAGTAGAGGGTGACTGAGTAAATGGTGACACCTTTAGATAGGGACCCTACAGGAACAGGTCCGGGTGTGTAGCAGGAGAGGGGTCGGGGGTGAACTTTAGACTTATTAATAAGTAGGAGTTGATCCTGGGCCACCCAAGGGGGTGGTGGAAAGGTGGCCTGGCAAACAGTGCAGGAAGGTCATCCATCAGTGGATTGCTCTGTCACTTCCCACCCCAACAGATCACCAAGTCCCTGGCTTCCAAAGACTCTGCCTTCCAGATCTCATTCCTAACCTGCTCTTTCTAGTCCCATGGCCAGGGCCAGCTTCCTGGGTGTGTGACCTGTGTGACCACAAGGCCATCCTTAGAAGGGCATGATGCTTGGTTTGATGCTCTGCTGTCACTCTCTTGAAATTCTTGATAATTTTTGGACAAGGGACCCTGAATTTTCCTGTTGCACTGGGCCCCGCAAATTATGTATCCCGTGCTAGCCATAGCTGTAGTTAAAGGGCCCCATTATCCCCTGCACTGGACCCTACAGTAGCATCCTGCCTCCCAATCGCCAAACCCTCTCCTTTCTCTCTTGTCTTCTGCAATGTGATCTTTTTAAGCTTAGATCAGAGCACAGAGCCCACCTGCTCTGCTCGAAAACCCTCAGTGGCACCTATGCACTGTCTGATAAAATCCAAATTCATTAGTGGAACATCAAGGTCCTTGTTCTAGCCAGTTGGCCGTAACCCACCTCCAGCCTCGTTTGTCTCCTTCCTTCCCCCTTCCCCCTTCCCCCAGCCCCAGGCTCCAGTCACACAAAACTACCTATTTTCCTAAACTTGCCCAGTATTTTGCTGCCTCCACACTTTTCTACAGGACTTGAGCGCCTCCCCCATTCCTTTGTTAGGAATCCTTCCCTGCCTTCACACACCAGCTCCAGAGCTACCGTTACACCTCCAAGAAGGCCCCCCTTAATCCCCCAGCCTGTTAATCAGTCGCCCTCCTGGGTGTTCTCACATTGTGCAGTTTCCCCCTCCCCCAACAGAGTGTTATCTGTCCTGCCATTAGTTTGAAGGCTCCCAGGCCATACTCAGGACTTATCCCACCATCTGTGACCCAGTCATAACACCCAGCACATGGTAGGAGCTCAGGCAATGTTGGTGGAATGGAATCCAGTGCTTGCTGAGGCTTGAAAGCAGCAGGCTTTTTAGGAGGCACCCAGGGGAAGAGTTGGCCACAGCATAAATCAGGGCCTTAGACCCTGGGTCAGGAGGCAAGATAGGAAGCTGTGGATGCACAGACCCTAGGATCAGGAACTAGAATTCATAGGCCACAGGCCTAGGAGGAGGAGGAGTGTGTCTGAGACTGGAACTGTTTAAATAATCATGCCTTTCTCCACACCCCCCCACCCCCTGCCCACTGCTTTGGAATGGGAGTGAGGGGGGTTCAGGGAAGAAAGCAGAATTTAAATTAACATGAGCGTACGAGGCAAGACCTTGTTCTATTTGTCATTCGCTCTCCCCTGCCAGTTCTACTCAGTCGGGCAAGGAGATTTTTATGTTTCTTGACCCTCCTTGACCGGTCATCTTAGTCCTCAGGTCCCGGTTCATCTCTGCGATCTGGTGTTCTTACCCTTTGAAGGGTCATAGTGCCCCTTTTTAAAAAGTGTGGGCCCATTCCTTGGAAAAGTGCACACACAGCTTTCAGCTTCCAATGTCAGGGAGCTTCATGGACCTGGGAACTCCTGTGATGGTCCCTGCTTCCTTCCTCTGCCCAAAAAGTGGGGCCAGGTGGCCTGTGGGGGTGGATCAGAGGGTGCCCCAGAGTGCCACCCTGAAGCCAACCCAAGGGTCCTCCAGCAGCTCCAGCCCTCAGGCGGTGCATTTTGCCAGCTCTCTTCATTTGCTTGTTTCTCATCATGAAAGCAGCGCGCATGCTCGTTGTTTTTAAGAGCACTACTTTCTTTGCTGTTAACATCCCCAATCAAGACTGCTGTTGGGTCTGGACCCAAGACTTGCTTCCCACCATCTTGGTCAAAGGAAAGAGCACTGGACTAGGAGTCAAAGATCTGGACTCCTGTCCAGCCTCTGCTATGACTGGCTTCTGTTGTTTCCCTAATATTTGTAGAATGCTTTTTGTGTGTGTAGGTGTTTTTCTCCCCATGGCCCTCCCATCTCCCTTGCCCCCAGGATCTTAGAGTGGAGTGAATACAACGTTCACTCAAGGGTACAGGCAGCACTTGCTGTGTGACTGTTGAGAATCACTCACCCTTTTGTTTTCCTGTCATGGTTTCCTCTTCTATAAAATAGGGACATTAGCGCCTATCTGCTAATGGTGAGTGACAATGACATAATATTCATGAAACTATAGCCTGACGCAGCATAAGGTATTTGTGTGGTTGTTGCTGCTATTGATAATATCCATCAGCAAAGCATTTACTCAGTCAAATCCTGATGCACTGGTACATTCAGTTTCCTCTTCTGTAAAATGGGAGTGAAAATAGGACTTAGCTCATAGGTTACTATCAGGATTCAGTGGGTTAATCCACGAAAGGTACTTAGAACCGTGCCTGGTGCATATTAAGAACTCAATGAACGTTAACTAGTTGAACAGACTGTAGTATTTTTTCCAGCCAAGAAAAGACTTTTCTAATGGCACAGGAAAAAAAAGACGGGGTAGGCATGACAGGGAAGAAGGAGTTACTTGCTGTCTAATTCAGCTGTCAGTGAAAGAAAGAATTACTAGAAGCCTGTGAACTTGTTCTGAAGGCTTGCTGAGTAC